TTATATATAATATAATTATTTAATTATAATGTATATATAATTAATATATATATTTTTTTAATTGTATATAATTGAATTATTGCTGTTTACAGTTAAAAAACGCCACAGCGATCTTCATAATGAATCTCTCGATCTCGGATTTAATGTTCTGTTGTTTCAATCTTCCGCTTGCTACGTCTACGTTTTGGCATAGTTCTTGGCAGCACGGACCATTTTTGTGTCGATTGTTTCCTTTGTTGAGATATGGCTTGGTTGCAGTAAGCCTCTTCTCAATATTGGCAATTACAATTAATCGTTACATTATTATTAGTCATCCTAGACTTTATCCTAGGTAAGCAAATTGAATACTTATATATATAATAATATAATATCTTCAAAATAAATCTAATGATTTAGTAGATAATAAAATAATTAATAATTGATTAAAAAATATATATTAATTTAAAAAATACTTTTATTTAAATTGTAAAACTTATAATAGATTATTGAATATCATAAAATTTATTTTTATTTTTACAGAATATATAAACCAAAATATTTAATACTAATGATTTTGGGTATATGGATCGCTGTTTTTAGTATTCTCATCATTACATGGTTTGAAAGTTGGGGTCGTTTTGGATTGGATGTTGTCATTGGCTCATGTTCTATTCTTCCAGATATAAATGGACAAAGTCCAAAGGAATTTCTTTTTTTCGTTGCTTTCTTGATACCTTGCATCGTAATTGTTGTTTGTTATGCAAGAATATTTTATATTGTTCGCAAAACAGCATTTAAAAGTAGAAAACGACATATACATGCTAGTGTCGATCCAATTAAAAGTAATCATGAGGTAAGTAAAAAAAAAAATAAATGAATCTAGTTCAAATGAAATTATAATACAATAGAAAATATATATAAATAGAATATAATAGAAAATATATATAAATATAAATTTGCATATATATAAATATAATATAAATATTTAAATTTATATAAATTATAAGTATATAAACTTATATTATATTCTTATATAAATTTATATATTATATTTACATAAATATAAATATATTTATATATATTTATATNNATATATTATATATATATATAATTTATATATTTTAATATATATATTCACTAAATTGAATCAAATAGATTCTATCGAAAAATTAAACAAAAAAGATAATAAAACTAATCAAATATTGAAGTTATCTTTCGAGCGTCAAAATTTTCGGAATGTATCAATGAGTAAGACAAGGAAAACAAACGCAAGAGAAGGACAGAGATAGAGTAAAAGTTCTATCATCAGCGCCATCTTCAGAGTGCCGCAAATGAAACACAAAAAGAAAGGACAGAAAATAATAAGAGAAAGATAGAGATAGGTAGAATTGATCGTTAGCACCATCTATGAAGTATAAAGGATACTTCTTCAACATTGTCTTTCTCAGATGCCTCAAGAGATGGCGGTCATTGTTAATTCTTATTCTACTTTATCTTTGAAAGATTTTCTAAAGAATTCCAAGAGATGGCGAAATAGATCAATTCTACAATTCTATCTTATCCTTTTTTTAAAAAAATGTTTTTGATAATCTCTTGATTAATAATCTTAATCTGTGATTCAGTTTTAATTTGATTCAATTTAGTAAATATATATATATATATATAAAATATATATAAATATATTTATATTTATGTAAAATAATGTAAAATATATAAATTTATATTTATATATATTTAAA